GGGTTGCTGCTTGGCCCGACTTACACGTTTGATATTCGCGTTAACGAAAGCATTAAAAGAATTGAGATTTGTCTCCGGTGATATGTATCCAATGTTAGGCAATGATATTGTAAGTTTTGTCTAACATTATTTTCAAAAATTCTTTCATTTTAATTGACATTAACCACACTATTTCCGGTTCTTCTAACTGACATAAATTAAGGGAAATAAGCATTGTTTAACCTAATTTATCATATTTTTCAATAATTGCCATAACTATAGATCAAATTTTACTGGTAAACAAAGTAAATTTTAGATATATTTAAATGAACTATATCTAAGAATGAAATCGAACTATGCTCAATATCGCACCTTAAAAATGAAACAGATGGCTTCGGACGACAAAGCATTATCACTTAATATCAGAGATGTTAAAGATTTCCAAAGTTCGTTGTATAATTATTTTGTTAATAAGACTTTATCTGACCCATAGCATCTATTAAAAAAATCTTAGGCAGGTATCATCAGAAATAAATTTTTTACAAGAGTTCCATGATGTTTAATAACAGCTAAATTAATTTACATAATATGATTGCAAGTCATTAATTAATTTTTCAGACAATTTATTCTTTTTGTAACTCTATAATTTGAAAGATTTGATTTTAATTATTGAAGTAGTAGGATATAATCTATCATCTATGAACGGATCATATTCGAGATTCTTCAGAGTCAGGAAGTGTTAATGATGAAGTGCATTGCAATTTTCCTGAAGATAATACAGATGAAAGAAATAAACGACTCCTTGAAGAAAGCTTGCGCAGGATGTCAACTAAAGTTAGCTTTTGTAAATTATGTGTAAGCGACTGGATTCCAAAACAAACCTATACCAGCTGTATCAACAAAAAAACAGTATGGACAAAACTATCAAGCTTTAAACTCCTTGAAAAAAGCATTTCTAAGTATAAAACAATATTTTGAACTTAAGCCAAAAGTTCTGACTTGCATTTTGCTAAGCTCCTCGAAGCTCTGTAATTAACAATAGCATAAGTGAATTGAAATTACTCTTTTATGTCTTTTTATCTTTCTCTCGCTGAAACCTCATATCCAACATTCGAATAATTCAGAATTCAAATATCTATTGTAGTGGAAATCGGAAAGCGATTTTGAAGAGTATCAAACGAGAAAGCACAAATTCCATATTGATTCCAAATGGAAAAGAGAAGAATGAAAAATATTGACAGATGAAAAAAATTTTTTTTCAAATTGAAAAAGCCGTTGTAATATTATCAAATAAAATTATAACTGAAAGGCTCGAATGACTTGTGAAACTAATAAATATTAAAATTACCTTTTTTTAAATCTTCGCTTATTTTCTACCTTCTCTCATTTCTTAAACTGTTTCACGGATTCTTATCTTATGGTTATTAGAAATGATGTGAGTTGGGTAGTGGTTTCATAATGTTAGGCTTGTCAGAAATAACAGAAAAACCTCAAGTATCGTAAGGGTGGCAGCTTATATCAGTAATTTATGGCCTATATTGTAGCAATTTTTGCATCAATTTTATTCGCTCCATTTTATTTCAGTAATCATTATAATTTTTATAACGATCATTGTTAGAAGCTATTTGATATTTAAATGTTATATATTTTAGCTACTTCTATCTGACCTTACTGTAATATTTTTGTAGTAATATTTTCTCTCGTTTTTGCAGTATTCGATATATTTTATTTTTTTCTTATTTGCTTAATTAACTGGTAGTATGTAGCAAATTAACGCTTCATAGTTTTAAACATCTTTTAGAAAATTTGATAAACTTTCAGAAACACGCTAATGTATT